CCTCTCCCAAATGGGTCATGCATTGTTTTCATATCAACTTGAGACTGTTAATGCATTTACAACATGCACGCTCTAGAGCAGTTCCAGGGGGCCCAACGAGGGCCATGCCCACCCCACCCCAATAAGCCAAGTGTTTCTGTTGAATGAAAGAAAGGAGATTTTTTGGTCGATTTTATTTCCATTCTTCCTACAAAGGTGTAAAAAGAATTCCAAATGTAGCCTCTCCCTCAAAACAGGCCATAAAAGGTTACCGGTATATGAAAACATTCCACAGTTTCTAACCTCCTAAACAAGCCCCCCCCAGCGGTTCTGGATCCACCCTTAGGCACATTCAAGACACTCTTTCTGCTCTTGGTGGCAGTTGATCCACCCGTCTCCCTCACCTCTTCTTCTTAGTTAGTATCATGTCCATCACCTGCATCAGCTTCCGATCATGAGCTTGGATGTCTGCATCCCTCACGTCCCTGCCCATCAAAATAACAACACCAGCTTGTATAGAAATTGGCAAGGGAAAAATGGCAAGAAGTGGTTCTGAATCAGTGATAAACTGATAGGATCTATACATATTTGGTACCATTATCTTACCTTTCAAACTCACACACACTTGGCTAAAACATACATTTTATTCATTTAGAATGTGGTCTACACAGAATTCAAATCAGGTCTAAGAATCCTGGTGTGAATTAAGACATGGATAGTTTCTGCGTCAGTGTGGGTCCGTTAATGTAACAGAGAGAGAGAGGCATATGCTAGGGTGTTAAACTGAACGCTACCTGAGGCAAAGGACAGTTTTAAAAGCTCTTGGCAGAACTTCTTGTGATGTAAAATTGCTACCTGGTATTCTGAAATTTCCTGTTATTCTGAATAATTCTTGAAAGCCTGCTTGCTCTCAACGAATTCTTGGCAACACTGGAAAAGTAGCAATGTCTCACTGCTTCCTGGGTCATTAGCAAAATCAGTTTGAAAAATTTTAATTTCTGAAGTTTCTTACCGAACAAAGTAAGCCATATAGGTGTAGGGACAGTTGACCGCACCAAAGCCTGACAGAACGGCGATAATTGTCACTCCAATGACCCCAATACGACTGATGACCTGCTCCATGGAAAAAATGCCTGTAAAAGGAAACCATATTTAAAAATTCTGTTTACTTGTTTTGTGGAAGAGATTGATAACACAGGGTTGGATAGCTCAGTGGGTAGAGCATCTGTACAGTATTCCAGAGGTTACAGGTTCAAATACCACTCCAGTCAATCTACTTGTTTACCTTTTTGATTACTACACAAGCATCTGATCAGCTTGCCTACACGTTGTATGCAATTCGATGATAAAGTCTGTCTTTTCAGTTCTGTTTCTGCATTCTTATTATAGACCTCCAAAAAGCATATCAAGCAAGTCCTAGTTTCAGGAGAATGTGAAATAGCGAAAAGCAAATGTTTAATAAAAGATAAGAGTTAGATGACATCTCACCATGTTTACGACTGAGTATTGGGAAAGGATCTCCTAACTTCCAAAAGAAATAGACGAAGACCAGCCACGCCCCCAATGTCAATGGAAATGTCAGGTGACGATTCTGAACTGTAGTCCAAGAATGAATCAAGAGATTGCAAACATTCAGACAATTATGGACAAGGGAACAATAATTAATTACTAAATTTCTCACTAAAAAAAAGTGAAACCCAGCAACTGCAGTTCTGTGCTGGTAAAAGGGTGAACCTGGTACATCATTTTTGCTGTTTCTGTGTTTTGTGATTGGTACATATATCTTAAGAATTAAGCTGCCATGTTTGCCGGTGTTCTTGAAATTGTACCATGTTTCTGGACAAAATATTTGGTTGACAACAAAACAAGTACCACTTCCTCAACAATGGAATATTTGAAAGGATCATGGAGTGACATGAAACTTATCCAGGATGTGAAACATTACATGTACATCTGCCAAGTTTCGTGTGTGACTCCCCAGCTCCTGAAGTTTCATCAGTGTTACTTGAAACGCAATTTGTGAAGTAATATGCATGTACTACGATGTGTCTCTTTTCAGCTTCAATGGTACAAGACACTACAATATCAATGTATGTTTGCACTCACTCTGCCTTCAAATCATTAGGCCGCAAAAATGTTACCTTAGATAAAGAGTTCAGTGCGACGTGTTTGCCAGCATGGTAGATCTTCAATCATGGTTCATTACCATGGCAACCACATTATGCGGTGTCCTAAACCGCGGCTGGAAAGAACATGTGCGTCTTGGAAAGACACTGGCTAACAGCTGCAGGTACTTCCCACAGACGTGACTTACATCCATCAGGTAGGCATAGGCTAAGTCTACAAGAGGAGGGGGGTTCAAACAATAAGCTCCACCCACCTCCTCAAACTGTGTACATGGGCAGATATGCCTCAGCCTCAGGGTATGCTTTATGTACACAGCTTGAGCTTACCAATACGTATGTTGGTGAAGATGAACCAGGCAACATAGAAGGGAAGGATCACTATCAGAATGAAAAGGATAGCGTAAAGATCGACCTTCCAGTGGAAAAAACGGGAGCTGAAATTAAAGAAAAATATTGGACGGAAAAGAGATTAAAAGTGTGGCTGAAAATATCTGCAAAATTCCACAAAGTCAAATTTCAAAACGGCAAGTGGCTGGAATTTCTGGGAGTTAGAACTGAGCCTCATGCATCAAATTTAAAAAAAGTGCAATGTTCAATGTTTACTCCTAAATTGAATATCCTAAGTAACTTCCCTTCTTTCTTTTGTAGCCATCTGCTTGAAGTGGCTCTTTAGTTTTTTCAGGGAGATTTGCATTTAAAAGTACATCTTTGACCTACATGTACATGGAATACCTCAAAGTGACATTGGACCTACTTTGTGTTGAGCACACCCAGGATCTCAAAGATGATCAGCTCAAATAAGGTGCAGGAGAGAGCAAAGGTTGCGGAGAAGACCAGTTGAACAATGACATGGTGAACCTGCACAAACATGGATTGGAAAGTACAATAAAACAGTTACACTTCTCTGCAAGTAACTCTTGCAACAAAACGAGGTCTGGAGTATTGTGCTATCGGGGCTAACTGGCAGAGGGCATCACCATGAAACCACACTGGAGCAATGAAATGGAACCCCTGCAGGCCAGCTATAGAGGCCCGTCGCTGGATGGTGCTAGCAAAGTGGGGTTCTGCCATGTGTTGGTGGTTGTGTTTTGTTGTGGTGAAACGATGCGACACTGTGTAAGAAATGTTGGCAAAATAAATCACCTGGTGCACCCCAAAACTGAAGCAAAGTTGTCCAGATTCCTCCGTTAGTGTGTAGCAGAAGCTGAAGTCATTCAAATAACTTCATAAATTATAAGCTGTCTCAGTTGTTTGCACCTCCCACTTCATGGTTGGATAATCGTTAGTCTTTTTGTCATTTCACAGCTATTGCTGACTTGTAGATCTCCAAAAATTGTACATCAAGATGGTCAACAAATACGTCGAAAGCTCACCTCATAATTCTTGAAAAGTTTACGCATGAAGAAAATCCAGCCTCCAAGAAAGAAGAAAATCTGCAAGTACAGGTAAGACAGGGCATAAATGACAAGGTTACACAGATTCTATACGTGTCTATAATTTCTGTTAAACAAGAACAAAAATTGAAATCAATCAAAACAAACATAAACATTCAAAACAAAGTTTTTGTGAAAAGAGCAAATTAATGACACATATACATGTATTATGTTACTCTGCATTGAGAATACCCCAAGAATACCCCAAGAATACCCCAAGAATAACCCAAGAATACCCCAAGAATAACCCCACAGGCCAAATTTTCTGAATTTGTAGGCTTACACTGTCACTGTAAATCGTGAGAAAATATGACTTTTGACTGACCACCAACATGACCAACAATGTGAAAGTTTTTCTTCCATTATGTCCATGTCATCATGGTCATGTGTCATACACTGACAATTTTTACCCCAATGCATCGGCCTAATTTCCCTCAAACATGCATGACATGTCAAAAATCTAAACCCACACCTCTTTGTCTTTTCACAAAATTAACCCTGGCATTGTCCACTGACTGACTGATTCCAATCCAGAGCTGCGCAAAACAAACACAGGGCCTCAGCATATTTATGACCGGGGCCTTAAATCCTTATGTAGCCATGCAATGGTTTGTAAGGTCTGTCTCTCTTGTCCATTTACTGCTTAACCCTCCTTTGGTTTTACAGCACAAATATACACAAGTGCCCACAGTCACTCTCTTGTATGTATTTTCTACAAGGAACNCAGTTCTTGGGCAGCACAAAAGTGCAAACTGATATTCCTGTGAGGGACAGTTGGTGCAGCGCACAACACAACACAGCTGTGCTTCTTTGAGGTGTTTACCAAGTGACCCAAAGAGTGACTTGAGCACAGGAGGGTTAATATAAGTCTGTTAACACATCAGCACGTAAAACGTTAGTGGGGCCTAAGCAGCACAACTGAGCAGGCTAGTCTGCAAATGTTGGGCCCCCAGTATTCAAGCTGTTGGGATGACATCACTGAGTCTAGATTCTTCTCTCTGTCTGATTGGTCGATTGATAGCTATTCCACATTTGACTCTCGAAACTCAAAGGGGCAAAAATAGTGTTGCAGTTTAGGCAGCTAGGGCCTAGGCCCTACATGCCCTAGCATGCCTAGCCTAGGGAAAATCTTAGTTAGGCCACGGCCTAGGCCTACACTGTAGGCCCTATGCCTAAAAGTCGTCTTAACCTGTCCATGCCCAAAATTGCACTAGGCCTATTTTGTGCGCTACGAATATTGCCCACGCTGTATTGAAAAAGTTTCAGTTAATTTTATCAAGTTGCAGCAAAAAAGGAGAAAAATATGAAGTACTTGTATAAAATGAATGGAGGGCTGCTGATTGCCCCTTTTTTGCCCAGACTAGACGTGAGTGCAATAAACATGATATATGTAAATCAACCTCCGAGTCATGCCGAGTACGACCTCGAGAATGCCTACCTGGGTTGTAAACATGACAAACGAATCCAGAAAGAAAGCCATAACTACACTCGAATTGAAGTTTCATTAAATCACAATAATACAGTAAAATTAATACAGTAATACAGACACCATTAGAATGCAAATCCGCCGAAATAAGCGCTATTTATCATGTTTATGTTGCAACGTTGGCAAGTTCCCCTTCCAACATGTCCAAAGGGGGCTGCCATTTTGATTTACACCGCTCTAATTTTTCAGTACAGCTATTTCTATTGGATGGCTCTTTTTTATATTCACACAAGCATTTCTAGCGACGAAAGTCACGCAGGAAAACACCCTAATATTCTTTTAAGAAAAAAAATTAAAAATATTTTATCATGTATTGATCAAAAATCTTTTTTTTCCGGTCATGTTTTTCTCAAAATTGAATATTTCGTGTTTGATTCTTTGAGCCATTGGCAAATCAAAGATTTGGTAACTCCGGCATGACTCGAGTTTTATGCGCCCGATTGGGCACCACAACAAGCAGGTTTCTGTGATGGCGTTTTTCTTTCTTATCATTGTTCTGATGGTGGTATTCACTTGATTTGGGCTCGCTTTGTAGAGATAAGGAGGCCAGGTTGAAGTTGAAGGAACATGTCGTTCATCAACACTACTCACTAATGTCAGTAAGACACCCTGTCGATGTCCCTCGTGTTCTCGAGAGAGGTTTGGTGATCTACAAACTCACTGCATGCACAGTGTATTTTGTTTATGAATTGACCGAATGACCCACATTGAATGGGTCAGAGACGGCCCGCTATAATGACTGTGGAGCATGGGGTCTTTCAACAGCGTGATCACGATGACTTGAAGGTAGGAAGTGCTAGTGGCGCAGTAGCCTGTGCAGCGCGTGTACAACTTGAACTACATGTACATCAGTACTACATGTACATGTAACTCTGTTGCCGGTACTTCAGTTCAGTTCACTTTATTTTCCACATAGGCCTAATATTACTCTAATAACTATAGAAACAGCTTCACTAAGTGTATACTCGTAGGCTTATACGTGGCTATATAGTATAAAGGCCCTAAGCCTAAAATTACAGTATACTTTTCGCTCAGTTATTGTAATGTTAACCTCAATTTTTTTTTTCAAAACAGTGCAGTCATAGCAGCCACTGCACAGCACGTTGCTTTAAGTTTTAAGCAAATTAGGCCATTGCTATGCCTAAGTAAATGTCAACATTACCATGGTTACAATGTACATGTACATGGTCAAGTTCTGTCGTCTTGGCTGTCCACTCATGTCTGACATGTCTGACTCTGAGGTGAACATGATGAACCTGGGCCTGCTGCAATGCTGGTGTCATGGGAAAGGGAAAGAATTCCAGGTTAGACTAAGGCTAGGAGCGTCCTGCTTGTGCATAAACCCCCCGAGACTGGTAAAAAAATTCTGTTTTCTACCATGTGTATTTACACATACCCAAAATATATTTTCCATGCTTAATTTGACTTTTAAAGACATTTTATTGCTTTCATGTGGCTAAAAGGTCACTGCAGGAAAAAGTAGTGGCATCCGTACATGTATATGTACATGTATGTGTGGAATTTTTGCCTGAGAAAGGTTCGTCTGACTAAGGCAGTTTGTAGGATCCAAGTTATTCGCATTGGAGAAGTCAGTGCCAGATTTCTGTACCCACCTGCCATCCTAGTTGCCAACACATGTACATGTTGGCCTAGGCCCAACCAACACACCATGCTCACCATGATGCATGACCTTGTACAATGTACTTGCATTGTACAAGCCCAAAATAGTGTCACTGACAGGACTGAGCACTAGAAAGACTTTGTCCACTGAGGAAAACTAGGTTAGTTAGGTCAGATTACAGTGCAAACATGGCAAATTGGTTGTGTTTAATATGTTACGTGCAGACATGTATACATGTATGTATATAGGCCTACCATACATGTAGGTCGATATTCAGGTTACTCAATGTGTCAATCTTACAATTTACCAGTTTAATTCCACCATTGGCCAGTGTCAGCCAATTTCTTTATCTTTCTAATTCACGGCTGTGGAAGACTGAAGACTGTTTCCAAAGAGGGAAGTGCAGTAAATGAGTAACATTCATGCGTAAAGTCAGAGATTTCATATCAGAAGAATTTGAGTCATCCCCCCCCCTTTTTTTCATCATACATTTTTATCATCTCAGTAAAGGTCAGTCGTTGCAAAAGGCTGAAAAGACATGAATCTGAAACTGAGAAAAACTTCCAATTTTGTTGAAAAAACATTTAGATGTACCTGGAAGATTTCCTTGAATCCTAACCGCTGAAGTGAAGTCAGGATGTATCATTCCTTCCTTCAAGAATCAGGATCACTGGAACTCTTTCTGACAAGTCATGCCAAAAATTGACCAGTTGCCAAGAGACTAAATGTTGGCAGAAGATCAACCATTTGCACTGGATGTCAATACGGGCATGCTTTAGGTTATAGTACATGTAGGTATGTGCACATGTGCTCGGAACATGGGCCCACATGTTTCTTAGATCTCCATGTGAAATTCCTTTTTTATAATTGAATACATGTACCTCATTAAAACAAAGGTCCAACTCCACTATTTTGCCTTGGAGAGTTAATTGATCCCCTCTGCAACTCCTTCAAAAATATTCATTTTTTTCTTTTGAACTCTGTAAAGTTTTGTCAGAGTTACATGTACATGTAGGTCCTTCTTTTAGTTAGGTGCTCAATTGTGAAAAGAATCCTTTTCATGTAGAAAATGCCAATTTCTTCAAGAATTTTGGCTCTTAAAGATGCTTCATCATGGGTTCAATCAAGATGCCTTTTAACTTTTTGATTTCAGATAGCGCTATCCATTAGCCCACTGTTTAATGTTAAACCTCACTGCTTTCAAAGTCCCATCAGGTGGTCATTGGCTTATCTTGTCCTTGATTGATTGATAAATGGTGATTGCGTCTGTTGCATTGACCTTTAATATGAGGTCAGACCCAACGAATGCATCACTGAAGTACATGTACGTCTTCACATTTACATTTAGGATACATTTTAGGGAAGGTCAAGCCAAAGAACTATTCAGTAACAACTAACACATGTGTACGTGTACACGTTTTATGTAATAATTGATTACCATTGAAATTTCTGTACAAGTGTGGTGTATTCAATGCTTACATTGAACTTTAGTTGAAAAAGGTAGTAATAAAAATTAACCTGGAATTTTCCAGTGCTCCCAAAATGTTCAGAAAATGTTGAACAGGTACATTTATGAACTTCGCTGGTAGTAGCCTTTTGATCATCCTCTGGAATTTTCCAGTGCTCCCAAAATGTTCAGAAAATGTTGAACAGGTACATTGATGAACTTCGCTGGTAGTAGCCTTTTGATCATCCTCTGGAATTTTCCAGTGCTCCCAAAATGTTCAGAAAATGTTGAACAGGTACATTGATGAACTTTGCTGGTAGTAGCCTTTTGATCATCCTCTGGAATTTTCCAGTGCTCCCAAAATGTTCAGAAAATGTTGAACAGGTACATTGATGAACTTCGCTGGTAGTAGCCTTTTGATCATCCTCTGGTTTTGTGCCCTCACATGATGAGAACAGTGAAAGCAATGCAGAAACTTAATCCGTGGAAACTACATGTCCATGTGAAAGTGTTCCTTAAATTCAAATACTTTTAGACTTGCACATATACACTATAATGGTCAAATTAAAAGAGTCCAGTTATATAATCCTGGAAAAGATTAAATACATTCCAGACAAGTATGTAATGAAACATACATACATGGATCAACATACATGTACCTGTACCTTTACATTGTACAGTAATTAGGTCACTGATCCACATCCATGTCCATCCTCCCCCTCGGACCTGTGAGTGACCAGAGGTGGTGCCTACAGTACTCTTTCTCCTGAGGTCATAGACCAAGGGAAGTACGGGGAGGGGGGGGGTACATGGAGGGCCATCTTCTGGTCACACCCAGTCCCNATGAGCCTGGCTGGCCTTCGCATGTAGTTTGGTACATGTAGCTGGCACTACTGAAGATGAGCCAGGCTGGCCCTTGGCATACCTGTACATGTAGTTGACATGTACAATGTACATGTTTATTGGGTCATGGAGTGAGCATGATTAGCGATGTACATGTAGCAAGTATTTGAACCCGCAATGAATGCTCTAACTAGATTTTGCAGTCTGGTTACGCTCACTGGGCCTTATCAATACATATCCATGTACATGTTACGATGTACATTGTAGGATGAACACAACCTTGGAATCCAAAAAATATAAACAGTTGAAGAAGGAATAACCTAAATAAACTTTTGTTGAAATGCATTGATTACTTTATTTGAGAATGTGTACCAGTGCATTGGAAATCAATGTAATTGTTAATAACAAGATGAAGAATCTAGGTCAAAATTGTTTTGATGAATAAGTTTTAGCAAGATCCCCCAAAATGGGCTTGACATCCCGTAGAGATTCTGGTGTGGAACCATACATTTACCCCAAACTTCTGAGCAATTGGCATCTTCACACCTGATGCAAAATGATACAAGAAGTTGGCTTCCAACCTCTTTCTTATGTCATTACATTTTTTATTTTCTAGTAAAAGATAATTCCATCAATCTATCAGCCTTGCATTTCTCATTTGGGGCCTGTAAGTTGTTCATGTTGGGTGGTGTGTTTTTCTGTGCTGTGCATAAATCAAACTGGTATTGCATGTACATGTACTGGTACATGTACATTTGTGCTGGTACAAGTGGACATGCATATTGTGCATACATACCAGGAGATGTGTGTTTTTCATGTACATATCAATTCAATTCAATTCGACATTTATTTTCACATTGACATCCTTGATAACAATTGGTACAACAATTTATGTGTGTTTAGACAGATTATTTACAAACAGTATATATTTAAGTGTAAATCTACAATGTACCTGGGGATGTCAAGATGAAGGAAAAAGATGAAGCCGAGCTTTTGTGCCTTTCCCTGGGACAAGACAAAACAAGACAAAACAAAACTTAATCAACTACACACAGACTAAAACAAGACAATGCGTTAAAGAGTGAGACCTGGTAGAATATATAAAGTTATGACTTCAGCAACAAAACAAGGATTTTTTTTTAAGTGTAAGTACTGATGATCAATTCTTTCAGAGTTTTGGCAAATGAGACCATGGTACCAGGGGGTAGTACACTCTTTTAGACCAGTATCGAGTGCATATTTGTTTACATGTATCTGGTATTGGGATGAGTGTCTGTTGGACTTGACACACCATTACTTCAGAGCATAAGTCTGTGAATTGTGTCTGTATACTTTGTCATACAATGTACATGTAATTACATTGTATGCGCACACGTGTTTAGGACATGAAACCTGTGTGAGAGTAGTCAATGGTATGAGTCTCATGGTGGCACCCCACAAAATCAAATGGAACACTCCTTAGAATTTATGTACCAATACATGTACATGTATAACCCACATAGTGCTTTATAAACATGTGGGCTCAAACATTTATTTTGAGAGGGGTGTTCCACTCACTCTGGTTCTTTGCCCTGCTTTGGAGGTGTTGTCAGTTTCCAAGTAAGGAGTGAAGCAGATTCTTTGCATTCCAAGCCTCACAGCCAGGCAGGTTGAGTGTCGATGTCCAGTCTGTGGTACATCTCCCTACTGTCAGTGGTAATCTTTTGGATGCCTGTGCTTGCATTCAAGGGATACATGTATGATTCCCTTTCCTCATCAGCCAGATCTGACTAAGCTGAAGATTCCGTCTGCAGATGTCTCAGTGATGTAAAAGAATTTGAACTTGTACATTCCCTAAGGAAAGTTGTACAGCGGCCAAGGGGTGTGGTGGAGTCGTCAGTTTTCCTTCCTCCATGTTATTGGCTGATCACTGAGGATTAAGTAGGGTGTAGGTATTCTCGTGTGTCTCAACAAGATCTCCATCTTGTGGAGTGTATTAAACTCCAGACAGACCTATAATTGGACGTTTTCCAGTAAGAGCCTTGCTCTATGGTTAGAGTCAGTCAGCCCCAAAGCTGTTCCGGATTGCCTGCCCTTTGAGCTGAGGAGTACAGTGCCATCTGATCACGATTGTAGAAGGTGCCATCTCCACTAGCCCAATCAATCATTTTCAACTTTGTAATGATCAATTTCTGCTTCTACTCATATTTTTTACTGAATTACTGCAGTGCCCAAATTGACCGCAAAACCCAGAACTGTGAAGGGAATTCTGTCTGTGTAAGTTTAGTTGAGTGACTGCACCGTTAATGCTCAAATTGATGTCAGCTTTGATCTGCCGGTACCAGGACCTTTTGCTATTTAGTTGATTTGGATGACAACAGAAATTGTTCCAAATACCAGTACATGTATCAGTACATGAAGGACCTTTGTCCTGGATTTTTCTCTGAAGGGAAGTAACATCACAGCGATATGTCTCTACTTGTTGATAAGACAGCATCGTCGGGTGAACCTGAGGTGTACTATAGCAGATATATGAGACGTCGTCAGTTGGTACGTAGATGATCACACTGTAACAAGGATGCTGAGAGATAATGTTTCAATGTCCACAAATCGGACGCGGCAAAATCATATTCCTTTTGAAATAACATGTATTTTGCATGTTCATTTTTAACAAAGTAACAGTGTATAGTACATGTGCATGAGACATGGCATGGTGAAAGGGACCAGTCATTATAATGTACGTCTTCCATATAGTCATTTAAATTTCTTGTTTCATTCATTGTTATTATTATGGTAATGTTTATTTGACTTCAACAAAAAACAATGGTGAAAACAAGACAAGTACACAAAGACGAAAGTGAAGACACTTTAAAGAATAAAATCATAATGATTGGGAGGTTGGGGCAGCAGTTCCAAGGAAAGTTGAGAATCACATGTAGGCTTCCCTTTGGAGACAGCAAAAAAAGAACAGCACTTCATGAAAACACAATGAAAAATGATTATGTAGGTCAGGGACCTCGAACGTGTAGTCACTGTTGCTCAGATGCATGCCGACCTAGGCATTCATGTAATAACAAACAGACAAACCCCTAGACAAAAGACAAACAGTCATAAATAACAGAACACAAATAACTTGGGGAATCCCTACATTTACATTTATGTACATTTACATGTACATGTATCTCATATAGGTGCATGTATTTCTGGGTTTCAACACCCAAAACATTTGTTACTTGTGACAAAGCACACCAGACAAGTGTGAATACGTATAGAACACTAACCCTATCTGTTTTCAATCCGAGGGTGCATGCTTTTACTCACGGCACACCCTCACACTTGAATTTCCAACAAAATTGTCACTCACTTTTGCAGTCAGTGAAACCCCAGATGATAGGTCATGAGACTTGCATCTGGTTATTTCTTTAATTGTTTTTTTTTTTCAAGTTTCAATTTTTGAAACCGATTATTACCCCAAAATGATGAGAGCTTGTGCCGGAGGAGAAAAGGTGCTTACACTTGTGCTTAGTCCAGTTTGTGTCACATTTCAGGAAGAACTTTGGCGTCAATTACATTTACACATGTAGTTTTAGACCAGCCTTAAGTTGTTGTGTAAAATGCCGCAGCTTTCATCAAAGGACCATTACATGTTCATGTACCAGCCCATTATTTTGAGCACGGCATAGCCATCCAGTGAATTGTTTTGGAGCTTGCTCAGAATACCGGACATCACATGACAGAAATATTTTGTGTTTAGTTTGGACTTTTGATCAAGATGGAAAAACAAATAAACGCTTATTTTATTTCCTTGACAATTTCATGGAAATAATGTTGATGTTATTATGTGTACACATGTAGTCCCTGCACACAGTGCTGGATGGCATGTTTAACACAATGTACAGTACCTGTCCTCATTGCTTCAATGGTTTCTGTTGACTTTGTTTACATATTGTAGAGTAGAGGCTTAGACCCGTACATGTGCATCTTGAGCATGTGTGGTGTCCTGACTCAACCATTGCCAAGATCACATCATGTTATATGGGAGTGTACCAGTAAATAATAAGTGATGATGGGAATGCACATTGTATAACAAATCTTGGAAAAGTTCATCAACATACGTGTACATGTACATGTGTGCTTGTGCCAGTATCAGGTTGTGGTATCTGTACCTTGTCATTTTCAAAAGTTGTTAATTTCAACGGAACGGGGACAAGTTCATTGTGGAATAGGACTCCCCTGCAGTGGTAACTAAGGCGGCTCAGCACACATGAGGTTTGAAAACTAGGGGTGGAAATCAGCCAATCAAATACTCAGTTTTTGTTTAAATTCAGTGACTTTATTTTGAATGATCCGGTTGGTCCCACCGCCATTTTGATTGTTCCCTGATTTCTCTCCTACATGTACCTCTTCTGTGGTCTTCAGTCATCCTTTTACCCAGGATCTTCCTCTGGGGTTTTCCTCCCACCTCTAAAATTGTAATTTACTTATTGTCTCCTCTCTACAGGTTTCTTCAGGCTTGCGAGCTACAGTGCCTGGGGTGCTTTTGAGGAATCCTTGGTGTCATTACCAGAAATGATTAATAGTAATAACCCCCTTATTATTTTGACGCAGAACCAAGAGATAGCGTTGAACCAGCTCAAGGAGATCACAGGTGTCCAGGATGTCCTGACTCTCAAGCATGCCTATGAAGCCAGCGGCGGAGATATTGGTCAAGCCGTCACGTTCCTCACAGACCACAATGCCGAGCATCCCACCCGCCAGCCAGCCCTGCCCACCCCGGCCTCCAAGTCAGTCCCTAAGAACCAACAGGTCACGACAGCGGACTCGGAAACCAGCACGGATGCAGTACCAGTCCAAAGTCCTAAGAATAGAGGTCAAGGTTTGTTTGTATTCACTGTTTGCGGTTACTGTGATTGACTCCAGCTTAATTTTCATGATTCCAGACCTTCGTACCGAGTTTGCTGGTTCATTTCAGCACAGTACCACTTTACCCTGTGGACTACAGTCAGGGTTAAAAATCTCCCTCAAAATGTGAAGAAAATGCCAAGTTGTCTGGTTAGCTTGCCTCAGAGATATGGGCAAGAAGAAGTCTTGACCCCTGAACATCTTGCCCAAAATGTGTTCCATTGAGCATGTACCCCAACTAACATGACCAATTAGCCACGCTCTTGGAAAGGAAAATTGAGAAAATGAAGGAAAAACCAAACCAAACAACATGTGACTGGTTTCAAGTTGTGTTTTTTATTGCCAGATGTGATTGACCTGACCCATGATCGTGATGAGAAAGATGATCTACAGAGAGCCATTGCACTGTCGCTACGAGAGACGACAGGACCCAGTGCAACTATTGGGGTGTCCACCGAGGAACAAGATATCAGCAGGTTAAAACCTGATCCCTGACCCGGGGTCATCAAATCATTGCAGTGGAGTTCATTGCTCTTAGTTCATCTGTGTGGATGATC